AGGTACTCTAAACTGTATAAATAATGTACCGATCAATTGATTGGGATCGGCCAATCACGTGAAAGTCCCTCCATGAGTTTAAAGTACTTTTTGGAAAATAAGGTTTCACATAAAAATTTTTTTTTTAAAACCGTTATTTATGATTAACCAATCAAATTCAAGCTTTATTTTATATAATATAATCTATAATTAATATCGATAAAGTTAGAAATAAAGCATAGGTAAAGTTTGATATTATTGGCTGATGATCATCAGAATTTTAAGTATTTGATTGGTTAATTAATAACGTGTGATTTTTAATAATAATCGCAACGCATTATGGATGAAAATCCATTTTCATATTAAAATGAATTTCGTGTACCCATAATCGTATCACTTCATTTTATTTTTGCTCTCTTGTTTCGTTATATAACGTTAAACTAAATTAAGTAATTTAATGGAATATCAAATATATTATCAGGTTCGATCAATTTTTTCGTGCTTTAATAATTTTTTTTTTTTTGACATATACACGAACTTTTGTCTTAAAATTAAGGTTTTTTAAGATCCTTTTAAAAGTATGAACAAATACATAGTTACAACAATAAAAATATATGTAATTTTTACAAGAAGAAAAAGAATTTCTTAGGTTAAAAAGGTGGGTATTTAGAAGCATAGTGGACATTTGCATGATTAGCTATTACACTAAATTGTGCAATATTATGTGATTGCAAATTTTATACAGTTTAAAATAATGATTAATGATGACGGAATCTTGATAATCATTTTACGTAACAATAAAAAAATCACCAGAATTCATTCCTATATGTATGTTAAAGCAGTTTGACGAAACTAATCCCGCTAATCACACATATTCACATATTTATTCAACTAGTTTTTTTTAACTTTTTTGAAGAATACATAGAAATTCAGCAACAGCAATTACAGAAGAAACTTGCATTATTTGTGAAGCAGAAGGGTCTGAAACGAAGTTTAGAAGATTCACAGAAGCTGCTAAACACAAAGCCATACAGCATAAAACGTTGGATCCTACCTGGGAACTAAACTTTTCTCAATTTTGTTATAGACACTACATGAACTATATTATCAATGGTAATGTTGAATCTGATAATGCAAATAATTCAAAAAGATAGTGAGAATCTGATTAGATACCGGAGAGGATTACTTCTGATGATGCTGGAAAATCTGAGCTGATAACAGAAGGTGTTAACTCATCATCAAAGGTAAGCGATGAAAAGGAGGTTAGCAAAATTTTTTTATTGATAGCGTTAAATCTATGACTCAGATACTTTATGTGAGAGAAAAGAAGGAAAAGCAATTACTGATCTATGATTGGAAATTGCTTCAGGTGGACATGGAGTCCAAAGATAATAGTCTCATAGCATTCTTCAATATGCTTGAGAGGTTGATAAATCTGAGTAACAGAAGCCTTGTGGATCATATAATCTCGCAATGATAAAAAGACCTCTCTTTCTTATGCTACTTCCTTGCGGAAATCAGAAATAAACATATTAGTGCAATGAAAAAAACATTGCAATGTTTTTAGATCAATCAGGAACCTCTGATCGAGCTATTGATACATTGGCTAACATGCAATTAAGTTTCACGTTGAGAGAAAATTAATGTGAGAAAAGTATTATATCTTCTATTCATAGGGACGATATCACAAAAGAGCTTCTAAGATATCAAACAAATGCGATAGTCGCCAATATTGACGATTATCATAATATTCATAGTTTACAAATGCTGACAACTACCTCTACTAGCACGGTTGCCTATATGACTACCATTCTTACTATTCTCATACCCACAGCAAATGCAATTCTGAAAAATGTTGTATATAATATGAATCTGAATCAATACAGCAGACACAATCCACTACTTGTTGATAGCAAGTCCTTGATTTCACGAATGGAACATACTTACATGGCTCTTCTTTCTCAATTGTTCAATGACCAGTTTGCAAAATAACTTAAGACTTCCGATGTTGATTTAGTTGATAATCTAACCATTCATTCCTATGATTCAGATGTCTATGATAAATGAGAAGACCAGCAACTTCGCAATACTTTATTAATAGATTTATTAAGCTTGACCTGCATTCAACAGAGGCATATATTAAGGTCATAGAAGTATTTACATCCTTTCTGAAATTTCAGAAGTATCTTTAACACAATGTTATTCCATTAGTTGCTGATTGGCCAGGCCAAATACACCCTCAGAGAGCAATTGCTATGCAACAATAACAGTCAAAGAATTGTCAAACAGGAATTTCAGAATGTATCAGTTCTTTTATTCTGATTATGGGTCCTTTACATGTATCTCTCAATAGTCATGAAACTGTTATTTTATTATTTTATGATTTTTTAATTCTGCTTACAAATATATCTTTAGAACTAAAGCTCTGAACAGGTCGGATTAGGTCGAATAATTGACTTGACCTGACCTGATAAGGTCAGATCAGGTCAGACATAAAATTGACCTGAATTAAATATACATTTGACCTGATCTGACCTAACCTGTCTAAAAAAAAAAACTAAACAATTATTAATTTTGTTTAATATTTTTTTAAAAAAATATAAAAAAATATTGATACATTTTTACATTTGATTATTTTTCAAAAAAAAAATAGATACTAATATAATTATTTTAACTGCTGAATTTAAAATTACAAGTTGCGATAAATCTACAAATCTGGTGACTGCTAATACAATAACAAAAAACGTTCATAACTTTACAACCATTAATCCAATCATAATAAAATTTTATATGCACATATTTTCGAACCCATGGAACAACTTTACTTACGCAACCAAAGTTGATTTCCTTTGACCAAAATACTTAAATTGCTCTTTGAAGTTACTGTATAGATAAAAATAAAAATAAAAAAATTCATGAGATAATACAATTACGGAAAACGTGTATAACTTTACAACCATTAATCCAATCATAATAAATTTTATATGCACATATTTTCGAACCTGCTGAACAACTTTACTTATGCGACCAAAGTTGATTTCCTTTGACCAAAATACTTGAATTGCTCTTTGAAATCACTGTACGGATAAAAAATAAAATAAAAAAATTCGTGAGATAATATAATTACGAAAAACGTGCATAACTTTACAACCATTAATCCAATCATAATAAAATTTTATACACACATATTTTCGAACCCGCTGAACAACTTTACTTATGCGACCAAAGTTGATTTCCTTTGACAAAATGCTTAAATTGCTATTTGAAATCACTAAATGAATAAAAAAAAATAAAAATATTTCATGAAATAATACAATCACAAAAAACATTCATAACTTTATAACTATTAATCCAATCATAATAAAAATTTATATACATATATTTTCGAACCTGTTGAGCAACTTAACTTATGCAATAAAAGTCGATTTTCTTTGACCAAATTGGTTAAATATCTCTTTGAAGTAATTGAACAGATAAAAAAAAATTTAAAATTAAATTGTTGAACAATGTAATTGCAAAAATAACTTAATATTGTTGGCTACACTAATCAAGAAATAACAGAAGAGGCTGATAAATCTGCAAGAGAATATCTTCGAAAGTTTGAGAAATTTCACAGCCCTTTAGAAGATGTTCCAAGTGTATTAATACAGAAATTCATCGATAGGGAAGTAAAAATGTTTTACTTTATCGGAGAGGAGCTACCATTATTTCCAAAGGTCTCTTCTCAACAATTGCACGAAATTTTCGTCAAAAATCCAGCTAGTACCGGTCAGTACCCATGTCTAGAACAGGTTATCTAATCTATATTTTTTTATCACATCTAGATGCAAAAAAAATCTTCTGAGCTGATCACTGATCCAGATTAGTTAGATCAGTAAAGTACCACCATTCTGGGGCTAATATTCTTTTACCAGCTCTATATCGCCGATGTATCTGATTATCTCGCATACTTAGATCTAAAAGGCTCTGAGCTAAAATCTGTCTACTAGCAACATTATTCTGTGTAAGATGATTTATAATCACTCCAATGAGATCAGAAGGCGTTATAGTATCCACGAAATTCACGATATTGATATTGGGATTAAGTGAAATGACCTGATCTACAGCTTCTTTACTAATTATATAACACCCTCTCAGATTAAGATATTTTAAATTAAGGAATGATCTAGCAATTTCTTCGATAGTTATATCAGTAATTTCACAACAGCTAAGATCAAGTTGCCGGAGCCTTGGACAA